CTAGGACCCAAACCAGTCAGCCATTGGGAGTCCAGCACCTCAACCACCATGCCACCTGCTGGCCCCCCACCTGGGTATTTTGATGCTTGTCCTTTGTGCTCTTTTCGCCTCTTACTGGTCTTAGGGTCAGTCAAGGGAGTTTCAGAATCCTGTGTCCTGTGGTTTGCAAGGCTGCTGTATTTACAGACCCCCTCATACTCTGAGCTCTAGACACCTTGTAACCTGTTCAGAACGTGATCTGATTGTTACCTGCCAGAGAAGGCATTTTGACGGGTCATCTCATTGGTTTGACGGGTCATCTCAGAGGCCCAAGTTGATATTGGAGGGTTTTTCATCCCAGACCCGGGTGAGCTGGCATGATTCTTCTAGATCCCTGATCCTTTATTTATTGACATTTGCTTCCGTCTCTCTACCTCTCCGGGGAGAATACTTTGAGCCTGCGTCCCGGGGCACCTACGCTGGTGGGCTTCTGGTCCTCAGATGCTTCTAGATTCCAACCAGAGACTTAGTCTGGAAGGAGAGAGGGACACGGGGAGGTGGGAGGAGGCCTCAGGGACCAGTGGCCAGTCCCTTAGCGGCTTTCTGTCTCTGTCTCTGTAGGATTCTGGGTTAAATGATCTATTTCTACTTTTTTGTTTGTGCATTTCTGTCTTTGCTTGCTTAGACTCATCTTTCTGGAAAGGAGAAGGAATGTTTAGAGGGGCATATTTTTCTAAAAAAATATCAAGGGCCTTTTTCTTTAAAGAGGTCTCTTTTCAAATGTTTTTCAAAAGAGTTTGGGTCCTGAATCAAATTAGATGCAGGTGTTTGAAACCCGGCAGAGCTGTTAGGATCAGCCCCTCTGTCGTGGCCGCCAAGCATGGGGCACAGGTGTTTCTCTTCTCCCTGGTGACGGCAGGCAGAGCACCTCAAGGAGTGGGTGGGGAAAGCCATGTGGACTGGGTAGGAAGGGAGGGGAAGGGAGGGGAGGAGAGGTTTCTTTCTGCAGAGCCTTGGTGAGAGGAAACTCAGAGGGCAGGTTGGCCCAGGCTCTAGCTGGCATCAGGCCAAGAGGTGGTGGGCGGGCCTGTAGCTGCAGGCAGGGCTGGGCCAGGTCGCTGGGAGGCCCAGAACTCCATCCTTCAGTGTATGCCGAGACAGCCGAGGTTGAGGAGGCCGGTGGAATCGGCATGTCAGCCATGGCTCAGCAGGAGAGACCCTCACACTCCCACACACTCCCACTCTAGACCCTCTGTCCTGCTTGCGATCGTTGCACGGGTGCTCAGAATTTTTTTTCAGAGAGATTTTTTGTTATAGGGCGCATGCACTCACCAGAGGTACAGAGAGAGACAGAGACAGACAGCGAGAAATCATCCCCCAGGGGGATGGCCATGTTGAAATCCCTTCTCCTCCATTCTCCTCTCGGGATCTTGGGCACACACACACACGCGCGCGCTCGGCGTGAGTTTAAGCTACTGGGTCTAGGACTTGAACTCTGATGGACTATGTGGGAGTCCAGCAACATAACCATTATGCCATCTGCTGGTCCCAATTCCTTTGATTTTTTTGAAATTTACTTATTTAGAAGCCAGCAGTTAACATAGTGGCGAAGGTGCTAGACCCCCACATGACTGACTATGGTTCGAGTCTCACACCTGACAACTTGCTTTCTCACTCTCTTTCTTGAGTCGAATAAAAATATAATAATAATAATAAATGAAATAATTCTTTAAATAAAAAAATTATTTTTATGTTTGTTTCTCCCATGAATGAGAGAAGCAGGGAGACAGCACCCTCATGACAACTCCTACCCCCAGCCACCCTGAGTCACATAGGCACGTGTGTTTGGTGTACGTGGGAAAGTCTCTCTCTGCTCTCCAGACAGAGTGAGTGAAATGCATAGACCATGTGTCCTGCAATGCTAGTCCTTCAGCCGGTATCTCAGTGCGCAGCAAAATAAGAAAAAATGTGTATATATATTTAATGGCCAGAGGGTTTGTGTGCTCACAAGTGACAAAGAGGGGGATAGAGAAAGCAGCCTCCAGTGGGGCACAGCCCGCTGTAGTACCTCCATCCTGCCGGGAGTCTGGGCACACCTGCACACGTGCCTGCTGTGTTTTTCAAGCTGCTGGGGCAGAGATTCGGACCATGGTCTGAAAGAATGACCCTCTGTTCTGACACTATGGCCATCCTCAGTTTTAGGTACTGAAGCGCCCCGCTGGTGTCCATCTGTAACCCACTTATGAGCCATTCACATGAGTGTTCCCGGGTCCAGCAGGCGGTGTAATGGTCACGTCGCTGGACTCCCACATAGTCGACCGCTGTTTGAGTCCTGGACTCTGTGGCTTACAAACTCATGTCGAGAGACCAGCAGTTGGCATAATGGCTATGTCGCTGGACTCCCATGTAGTTGACTGTGGTTCAAGTCCCGGACCCGGTGGCTTAAACTCATGCCGGGTGTGTGTACGTGCATGCCCAAGATCCTGAGAGGAAAATGGAGGAGAAGGGATTGCGGTGTGGCCATCCCCTCTGGGGGGTGATTTCTCACTTTCTGTCTCTCTGTCTTTGTCTTTCTGGCAAGGGCATCTGCCCTATAGCAAAAACCTCTCCAAAAACAAACAAAGAAACAAACAAAAAACAACTCCTGCCGAGCATGTGTGTGTATGTGCCCACAATCCCGAGAGGAGAGTGGAGAAAAAGGGATTGCAGCATGGCCATCCCACCTGGGGTGATGTCTCACTTTCTGTCTGTCTCTCTCTGTCTCTCTGGTGAGTGCATGCACCCTATAGCAAAAAATCTTTCTAAAAAAACCCACGAAGAATGAGTGTCCCGATGATTTGCGGAGGGCCTTGGTCCCGGGCTGCAGGCTCCCTTGTCTCACACTCTGCCCTCCTGGGTGCTGTGGGGGTCTGAGTGCAGCCTGCAGATAGGGAGGCAGGACGGAGTGGGGCCAGGCTCTTGTGGCACCGTGACCTTCTCCCAGACTCCGCTGGCTGGGACTCCATCCCTGGCCACACCTCACTGCCTCGCAGCCTGCGGGGGAGTCTCCAGTCTCCAGTGTCCTGAGGGAGCAGAGGACACAGATTTCGGGAATATCTAGGCAGACTCCGACACAGTGGCTGCTTTTGTTAATGTCCTTACCTGGCAAGATAGGAGTTGCTGACCAGTCCTCCGTGAGCTGTCCTAATTTATTTTGATCTTACTGGTTTACAAAGTCTGTAAGCCTGGGAACTACTGTTAGCCATCATCCAAAGGGTATTCTGTCGAATTCTGGAAAGCGTTTCCTTACGCGAGACACTTTGAAAATAAATGTAGAAAATCCCCACAGCCACGGCTTCCTCTCATTTGTCATGACCAGTTAAATGTGAAGAATGGCGCCCCTAGGCCAGAGAAAACAGTGTTTGAACAGACGTTGGAAAAGCAGGTGGTCTTTCTGGCTCATGGGCTCACGACCTTTTTTATTTTTTAGGAGAGGACTTTGCTATAGGGCGCATGCGCTCGCCAGAAAGACAGAGACAGAGAGAGACAGAGAGATAGAAAGTGAGAAATCACCCCCCAGGGGGGGATGGCCAGACCTCAATCCCCTCTCCTCCATTCTCTTCTCAGGATCTTGGGCACGCATGCACACGTGCCCGGCGTGAGTTTAAGCCACCAGGTCCGGGACTTGAACCACGGTTGACTGCATGGGAGTTCAACCACATAGCCATTACACTAACGGTCCCACGACCTATTTTTTCGAACGAGGGAAGACAGTTCAAGTGTTTTGGTTTGAAATCTTACGAGTGCATGTCACACATGGAGTGAGGATTAGAGTAACCAGAAATGATGTCATAAAAGATGAAACTGCGCGAGGGAATGGATGATGCCAAAAAGAGCATGAGAAGAAAATGGGGGATGGGGGAGGATTTGCTGTGGGCATGTGCATTTGCCAGAGAGAGCGACAGAGAGGAAATGTGAGAACTCATTCCCTGGGGGATGGCCACACCTCAGCCCTTCTCCTCCATTCTCCTCTCAGGTTTTTGGACCCACACGCGTCTGTGCCCAGCCTGGTTTTCGAGCTGCTGGGTCTGCAGTTTCCCTTGGAGGTTCCATCCATCTTAACCACCCGCCACTGGCTGACCAGAGGAAATTTTTCTTGGCTTGTGTATTTATTTCTTCTGTTAAGACACACGCGCGCGCGCACGCACACACAGAGACAATACCCCCAGCAGGGTCTTTGCACCTGTTCCTGGGGTGTGAATCCAGGACTGTTCCCATGTAGGTCCACTTGCATTATAGTTATGTCACTGCCTGGCCCCAAGACCCTGAGATGATATTTTTGCAATCTCGTTATATCCAAAATAGCAGGGGCTGGGGTCAGCAGGTGGCATTGGTGGTTAAGATGCTGGATTTCTGTGTGGTTGACTGCACTTTGAGCCGTGAGTCCAGTGGCTTGAAAATCACACCAGGTGCATGTGCATATGTGCCCAAAGTCCGGAGAGGAGAATGGAGGAGTGGGAATTGCAGCGTGGCCATTCCTCCCATCCCGGGAGGGGAGGTGATTTCTCACTTTCCCTCTCCTTGTCTCTCTCTGGTGAGCACATGCGCCCAATGGCAAAAACCTAAAACAAAGATGAAACCAAAAATAAAAAGGCAGGAGGCTAGTGTGTCCTTAGGGGGAAGTTAAATTTGGGGGTATAGGCACGGGGGAAAATTGGCCACTCTGGCCCACGAATCTTTGTCATTTTCAACTGATAGTGGAGAGAATCCCAATGGAAATTATCTGTAGCAGGGCCAGGAGGTGGCATGGTGGTTAAGGGCACTGGACTCCCACACTGCTGACCGTGGTTCAGGACCCGGACCTGGTGGCTTACTTTCTCACTTTTCCTCTCTCTCTTGCTCTGTCCCTCTCTGGTCAAATTAAAATAAATAAATAAATAAATAAAGTTAAATAAAAGCAATTCTTTAAAAAAAAAAAAATAGAAAGAAATCACCTGTGGCTGTTGCTCATCCAAGGTTCTCTTGCTGTTGGTCTCTTTCAGGTCAGTCTGAATGACTCCCACAATCAGATGGTGGTGCACTGGGCCGGAGAGAAAAGCAACGTGATCGTGGCCTTAGCCCGAGACAGCCTGGCGCTGGCGAGGCCCAAGAGCAGTGATGTAAGTATTTGCGTTGCTTCAGACGTTCCTCCGTGTTGCTGAGCCCCCCTCTTCTGCTCCTTTGGGATCAGCATGCCCCCACTAAACAGTGGGTAATTGAAGAATGAATGGGACGAGGTATTTGACAAGGAAGAGAATCCAGAAAAGAATATAGCCCTGTTTGCCAGGACTCAGGGTGGTGCAGCCTTGGTCGCGACCAGGCAGGACGTGGTCGGGATTACTGTCTCTGCTCAGGACAAGGCCCCACGTGCGTTTCTAGGCACAGCCGCTGCCTGCCATTGGCCCTGTGGGATTCCGATCCGTCCTTCCGTGGGCTGATTTCAGCAGTGGGGTGAGCCGTTGAACCCGCTCTTTCATGTTCTTAATTTCCCAGGTTGACTTTCTACATGATATCGACGAGGTTAGTAGACCTGGACCCGGGGTTCTGCACTCACAGGCCTGAGTCCAAGTCTGAGCACTCTTTACCCCGCCGAAGCATCTCTCCTGTTTTTCTTTAAGTGCATGGCTGTCCTGGATAATCCATTTCTACACTTTTGTTTTGTTGTTGTTGTTGAGGTTTTTGTCTTAGAGTGCGTGCGCTCACTGGAGAGAGAGACAGAGACGGTGAGAGGGAAAGTGAGGAATCACCCCCACCCCCAGGGGGATGACCACACCACAATCCCTTCTCCTCCATTCTCTCACTGAGGTCTTAGGCATGCACACACACATGCCCAACATGAGTTTCAAGCCACCAGGTCTGGGACTTGAACCACGGTCGGCTGTGTGGGAGTTCAGAGACGTAACGCTACGCCACCTACTGGCCCCCAGTTCTATACTTTTGATAGGGTCGGGTTCAGGACCGTTCACTCCTGTCCTCATTTGAACGTGGTGATGGGTGCTTGGTCTCCGTGGGACGGGCCCCAGGAAGGACATGGGACTTGGGAGAACTGGAGAAGGAAGACTGTTGTGGAAGTGTTGCTGCTCTATTTGAGGCTCTGGTGGCTGCGGGGAACGCAGGGCCCAGGGTTGCCAGATCATCCGACTTTTCCAGAGAAGCCCAGAGGTTTGGATTTCCATGTGAAACTGCTGAGTCTTACAAGTTGGCAGCTAATACAGAGATTTTACAAGCACTCTGGGTCCAAGTAAGACATACGTGAAGGCCCGGCTGGCCCTGGGGTCCCGAGACTGGGGCCTCTGCTCCTCACGTCTCTTTGTGGGGAAGAGGAACAGCCATCGTCGGAGCCGGGTCTGCCAGGGTGACAGGGTGACATGCTGTTGGACAGCTGCGTTCTGGCCAGCGGAAGCCCCCTGTTGAATTTGCTAGCATGTTCACATCAGTCTTCAGGATGTACTTGTGATTCCTTTTTAAAATAATGTAAAACTTGATTTACTTTTGAGAGAAAGAGAAAGAAAAAGACACATACCCTCCACAGGGCTCGTGCCGCAAGCCCCCCTCTGACCTAGCAGCTGAGACCACCAGTGCCTACCCACAAGTACAGGTGCACTGGGGAACCGAACCTGCCATCTTCCTTAGGGATCCAGGGTTTCTTGACCAGCATGTTACTGCTGTGCCACTGAGTGGGCTCCACTTGTAATTCTCTCTCTCTCTTTTTTTTCCCTCTCAGCTTATTTATTTCTTCCATGAGAGGGGAAAAAAAGGAAGGAAGAGTGAGAGAGAGAGTAGCACCGCGACAGGGTCTTCACACGGTGACCACCTCCAGTGTCAGCCAACCTGGGTCCAGGACACTCGTGTGCACCTCTGTACTCAGGGAGGCCCCCGAGGGTTGTGTCTATTTGTGTCACCAGTGTCACCTCCTAGTCCACCACTTGTAATTCACTCTGCCCTCCTCCTGCCTCCCTGCTTCCCTCTCCTCTCCCTTCCTGTCTCCCTCCCTCCCTTCTTTATGATAGTAAATGCCCATGTACTTAGAGAGAGAGCACAGCAGAGAAGGCGCCCTTAGCAGGGTCTTGTCCTGCCACGATTCCCCTTCCGCAGTCCTGCAGCTCCTCAGGACCCCGGGTGCACATGCCTGAATTTTTGGGTTGACGTGGGGACCCAAACCCATGGCTGGCCATGTGGCTTCCAGCCCAGTAGTCCAGCATGCTTTGGACTGTACCACTTGTAATTCTTAAACGCAGCCTCGGCCTCTGAGAGGTCCCTCTGTCGATCCACTGTCTAGGCTGGCTGTGCTCAGAGGGGGTGATGGGAGGGAGCCCCAGGGGCTGTGTCCTAGTGAGTTGAGTAGGGCAGCACAGACAGGAGGACAGGAGGGCTGGCCGTGGTGAGGCACCGTGTGGCCCAGAGGGTTCTGAGCAGTCATGTGCAGGAAAGCGCTCAGCCGATGCCCACCTGGTGTCGTGCTGTGGACGGGACAGGGCTACCCTTGCTTGAGGGAATTGCCCTGGCTCGTTTGTAAGCACCATCAGGGTTTGCATACGGTGGGTGTGGCCCTGATGGCCACATGTGACTGCCTGTGGCCATGGCAGTTTCCGTGGGCATTTGTGCCTTTGCTCAGACTGGCCACCGCCCAGGGGCTCCCCCTGGGACCAGAGTCTGCCCGGTGCTGTGCTGTGTCAAGAAGCCCTCCTTAGAGCTTTTAGGCATTCAAACAATTCTTTGCCCAGACAATTTTTTTTCTTGTTTTTGGACAATAGGTAAAAGACCTTAACAGTTGTTTTATAGTTTAGTGGGCCAAACAGGAGCCTACTCTCATTTATTTTTTAAAGAATTATTTATTTAATTGTATTTATTGTTATTATTTTTAATTTTGACCAGAGAGAGAGAAGGAAAGTGAGGAAGCAAGCCGCCAGGTTTGGGATTTGAACTGCAGTTGGCCATGTGAGAATACGACACCCCTAACCACCATGCCACCTGCTGGGCCCAAACGTACATGAGGTCACTCAGCACATCAGCAGGAGCATCGAGGGGACAAGACTTAAGGCCCAGTCGTGGTGGTGCCACAGCTTGGGAGCCTGGAAGCTGCATGGGAGGCCTGAGTTTGGTTCCTGTGCCGACTTGAACTGCCTGGGTGAGGTCGTGTGCCCCTGTAATCACAGCTGGTTGGGATGCTGGGAAGGGAGGGTGACAACACGGCAAGACCGTGTCAAAATACTCATCTCTGCCTGTCCTAGTCTGTTACTGTGCCACTGAACAGACATGCCCGAGACAGGGTGACTTATAAATAATCGAGGTTTATGTGGCTTACGATTTTAGTGGCTGGAAAGGCCAGAGGTGTGGGGCGAGCATTGCACTGCTGTCTGGTGCAGTGTCACAACATGGCAGCAAAAAACAGAGGCAGTCAGGCATGTGCAGAGAGAAACGGACTTTTCCAGTTCCTCTGCTTGTCCCTCCCACGCTCTCAGCTGATTGGATGGTGCCTGCCCACCTGGAGGGCAGGTCTTCTCTCAGTCCACTGACACACCTGCCAATCTTGTTGGCAAAGATGCCTGCCCACATTGAGGGTGGGTCTTCTTTAAAAGGGTTTGCCACCTCCCAAGGCCATTACATTAGGGACCAAGTGACAACACTTGCTCCGGTGGGGACAAACCATCTAAACCAGAGCACTTTTTCTGTTTCTCTCTTTCTATTCCCCCACCCCATCTCTCTTATGAAAGAGAAGGAAAAAGACCTAACCATGTGCTCAGTGTGTGAGGATATGACGTTAAGAATGAGCATCTCGGGACCAGCAGTTGGCACAATGGCCATGTCATTGGATTCCCATGTAGCTGACTGTGGTTTGAATCCTGGACCCGGTGGCTTAAAACTCACGCCGGGCGCGTGTGCGTGCGTGCCCAAGATCCCAAGAGGAGAATGGAGGAGAAGGGATTGTGGTGTGACCATCCCCCCTGGGGGGTGATTTCTCGCTTTCTGTCTCTCTGTCTCTCTCTGTCTGTCTGGCAAGCACACGCCCCCTAGAGCAAAAACCTCTCCAAAAAAAAAAAAAAAAAAAAAAAAAAAAAAAAAAAAAAAAAAAAAAAAAAAAAAAAATAAATAAGAGTGAGCACCTCATCTGGCTGTAAGCACTAAAAGTCCGTGTCCTGGATCCCCCTCAGTCCTGGGTGAACCAAGATGGTTGGTCACCCTAAATTCCGTCCTTCTATCCAAACCCGACTTCACTGTAAAGATTTGGGTACATCTTACTAAGATCCCATTGAAGATCTGAAGGGATAAATGATTCTGGAATGAAATCTGAGGTAAGATTAAATGGAAAGGGAACTCAGTACGCAGAGTTAAATAAATAGAGATGACAGAAGCCTCCCTCATTTGTATACAAACCGCGTTAAAGAATTGGCAGATGACACTGACATGTTCCGATGTGAAAAAGTAATGCCAAAAGAAATTAGGACTCAGCGAACAGAGCTCGTGGTGCTGGAACTGTAACAATCTGAATTTTCTTTAGAGAAGGCTGATGGCGTGGCTCTCGGGACCCTTCCAGAAGGGAAGACCCTGCCCAGATAAGGGACCATGCGTGCTGGAGAATGGCCAGGGTCACGCATGGTCAGTGTACAGATATGAATGGATCTAGAAGCTGAAATACCCTCTTCAGCGATCCTGTAGCCATGTAAGTCCATGAAGGACAGCTCCTGCAGAACTGATCTTTTTCTCTTTCTTTTTTATGTATTTGACATAGGGCAGGCTGGAGAGAAACACACAGAGAGAAGGAAAATGAGAACTCACCCGCCAGTCCCTACTGGATTCTCCTCCTGGATTTTGAGCACACACACACATGTGCCCAGTATGATTTTCAAGCTACCGGGGATGAGACTTGAACTGTTGAGTTAACCCAGAACTGATCTCTTTGTGTGATTAAGTCAAGGAAAGGAGACAGTGGATACTGTTTACCCTGTCCCCTCCTGACCCTTTGTGTTTACTCTCTCGTGACATATTTTACAAAGGACTCAGGTGCAGCCCAATGGTTGGCGGAAGAGCTACCAGAGATTGTGTACCCCATAAAATCAGAAGCAGGACCAGTAGGTGGCATGGTGGTCGAGGTGCTGAACTCCCACATGGCTGACTGCTG